TCTGGGCGGTGTGGCGTGTAGCTCCTGGCCTCTTGCTGGCTGGGTACGGCTCTCCTCAGTCAGTGGGTCCTCTACCCCGAGTGGCTGGCTCGCCCTTGGGAGGGGGAGGCCAACAACGGCCTGGGTGGGATCACTCGGTGGTGGGGGAAGTGGACTCATAGTTGGGTGAGGATCCCTTCCCTCTCTTCTTCTTCTCCTCCCTTTTTAAACCCTCACTTCCTTCACTGTTTATTTAATAAACTGTTAAACTCCAGTTTAATACTGTTAATAATTTATAAGATTGTGTTAAATTTGTGACATTAACAGTAAAAAAGTAATCAGTTTGGTGGTAAGTTTGTCAATGCGGATTAGTTAGTTTTTATCAGTGTAAAACAGCAATAATTACTGTATTTTCACAGATAATCATTTTATAACAGTTCTATAACTTTTAACATTCACATTAAATAATCACAATCCAATAAAACAGCACTCTGCTGTAAATGTAAGGCACTGATCGTATCTGTGTGTAATACGCAGCAGTGTGCACCCCCCGTGAGAGCTTCGATGAAGACCATTCGTTTTTACACCTGTACAACCTATTCTCGACATTTAAACCACGGATGTTGCTAGAGTTACAATTAACAACTAAAACAGCCTGTACTTGCGCTCTACTTATCAACGTGAACCTTGACTGTAATTTTACAAGTTATTTTCTGTATGTTTTTGCCGCCACAGCTGCTGAATATTACAGTTTTTATAAATCTTTTTCTACAGTGTTGACCCCCTCACCCTCTCTCCCCCTCTCTCCCCCTCCAGGTCCCATCTGCAGTGTCTGTGTGGTGAATTTCGGGGCTCGGCCCGTCACCGTCTTCAGCGGCGTGATGGTGGCGGGGGGGTTGATGCTCAGCGCCTTCGCTCCCAACGTCCCCTTCCTCATCTTCTCCTTCGGCATCGTGGTCGGTAAGGCTGCCGCTCTCGTTCTGGTCTCGGCCTCGTAGCGCCAGTGAATTAATCGCAGTTGGTGGTTTCTGGTCCTGGTGTGAGCGTTATTTCAGTCGGCCTGCTGGGAAGGTGGGAATCTCTCTGTTTGTATAGCTGTGCGTCGTAAAGAGCAGACAGGGTTGTGCTCAGCAGCTGCTACGGTGTCCTGAGAGGATCACAGTGCATTGTTACAACCTCACGGTGGTGAGGGCGGTTTGAGAGCCGGTTTGGTGCCTAATCCTGAACCAGTTCAGGAGTCTTAGTGGACACTTTCTGTCAAAGAAAACCAACGTTAGCAGAGAGAGTTGGACACAGAGGTCAGACTGATTGTGTCCTCTGTGTGTCTCAGGTGTCGGTGTGGGTCTGCTGTACACCGCCACCCTCACCATCACCTGTGTGTACTTTGAGAAGAAGAGAGGCCTGGCGCTGGGGATAGTGACCACAGGTACGTCTGCCACACTTCCTGTCTGCAGGTAACGTCCATCTAGTCAGGCTCACTCTGATGACCTCTGAATGACCTCCTCACCTGTCTGTCTGTCTCCGGCGCTCAGGTACGAGTGTGGGTGGCTTCCTGTACTCGGCGCTGCAGAGCGAGCTCATCGAGCGGTTTGGTCTGGACGGCTGCCTGCTCGTCGTCGGAGCGCTGGCGCTCAACGTGGTGGCGTGTGCCGGCCCCATGCGACCGTTAACCCCGCCCAAATACTACCTCAAACAGCGTGCCGCCATCTTAGAGCGGCGGCTTCAAGAAGAGGAAGAAAAGCCTTCAGCCAAAGATCCAGTTATCGCCATGGAAACCAGGGAGCCGTTGGTCAGGGGGAGGAGCTTATTCAGCGGTTCGGCCTTCGTCAGGATGATTAAGATGAAGATGGGGCGTTATTCTCAGTGAGTGAAATAAATGAAACAAGAAAAAACCGATTCTCGATGATAATAAGTTTAAACTTCTCCTCTGTTCTCCTCAGATGTTTGTCCTCCATGTTGTCTGTCCTTCAGGACAGAGTCCTCATGGCGCTCTGCGTCTCTCTCTTCCTCTTCAGTGTCGGTCAGTCTTTCTGCTCTTCTTCTTCTGTTGTTACTAAATCAAACTGACCTCTAACCAGAGGAGTCGTCACCAGCTGAACCTCCTCACCTGTAACCTCCTCCCGCAGGTAACTTCCCCCCTCAGATCTTCCTGGAGGACCTGGCTCGGAGCTCCGGGATGACGGAGGGCGTCGCCTCCATCTCTCTGGTCTCCCTCAACGCCATCGGGGCCGGTGTGGGTAAACTGGGGCTGGGTGTCATGGCCGACGTGCCGTGGGTTGACAGCGTCCTCCTGTACGCTCTGACGGTGGGAGTCGGTGGGTTGGGAGTTCTGCTCATCCCCCTCGCCAGGTGAGACCCTGAGGACAGGTATCAGTAGGACAGTAGATTGTAATAAATACATACAATTATATTATAATAACTGTTTCAATAACGTTTCAGCTCATACCTGGACCTCCAGGTGCTGTCGGTGGTCCTGGGCTTCCTGAGCGGGAACTGGACTCTGATACCGTACGTCACCAGTCAGGTGGTCGGCGTGGAGAAGCTCGCCGAGGCTCACGGGATCCTCATGTTCTTCGGAGGCGCCGGCCTCACGCTGGGTCCTCCTGTCGTAGGTAAAGCTCGTTCACTTTGCAGCTACACGGCGTCACTAATCGGTACCCACATTATTAAAGCATTAATAATAATAAAGACGCTGCCGTTACCATAGTAACTGCCTGTTTCCTGTCTAGCAGCCTCTCATTGGCTCCTGTGTGTCTCTGCAGGTTGTTTCTACGACTTCACTCAGTCATACAACGTCGCCTTCTACCTTAGCGGCGGCTGCATGACGGTCGGCAGCGTCGTCCTCTTCCTCGTCGCTGTCCTACCACGAACAGATACTCCTCCTCTTCCTCCTCCTCCTCCTGACACCGAGCTCATCAGCTGCACCGTTACCACGCCAACAGACGCTACCTCACCTGACACCTGAACAAATCTGGACCCTGATCCGGACTTAATGTTTACAGGAAGGAATTTTTTACTGGATTTTTACTGAAAGAATAAAACTAGAACAGAGTCTGATTGGTCCTCTCAGTGGACGCTTCCACAGGTCTGGAAAATACTTGAAAGTGCTTGAATTGATCAGAATCTCTGAGTTTGACCAACCAACAGTCGAGTTTCAAACAAATACGCAGCCGATCTGAGGGGTACAATGCAATTAAAATGGAGATTATTTCCAGGATATTTGGTCATTTTAGTCAATTTCCAGGTTTCCAGCTGTATGAAGCTCTGTGACTGCGAACGGACGCAGTTAGGTGCCAAATAAGGAGAAACCAGAGTGAGTGGAAGTGATTTATATCAGTGTGAGCTGACTGACAATCAGAACGAAAGAACAGTGCTCAGAAAACCTTGGTGAGACTACAGATATTTAATGTCGCCACAGAGAGAAAAATAAATATACACATTTTCACTAATTATTATAAAGTGTGACCGAACTTTATCTTTAGCGCTCAGTAGCATTTCGAGCACTCAGTGTAGTAAAACGTGACCACAATCAATATTTTTTCTCCGCCACAATAAAACAATTAAGTAATATTTTTGGCGGCTTTAAAAGCGGCCTCATGTTTGTGAAATTAAAGGTTGAAACGTTTCTGAGGTCGTTTGGTGCTAATTAAAAGAAAATTCTGGTTTATATACAGTTTGATTTTAGTCTTGTTTTTCTGGATCTTTTGTATTTTTACAGTTTTTATTCATTTTACTGAAAACGTGTTTTTTATAAGTTTGTTTTTATCATTGTTTTGTATTGCTAGGTGTATGTTGTTTTGTTAATTTTTTGAAGAAAAATCTGTTCATGTGACAAAAAAGAAAAAGATGGAAATGCACTTTAACTCTGAACATATTTTAGTTTGTTTAAAGGGTTAAAAAAGAGTTTTACTAATTACATTTTCTTAAATAAAAACAAACGACAAAAGTTTATATGTTATGAAGTTATTTTTTGTCCTTTCTGCCAGAAAATGAAGTTGTTTTAAGTCTCTGCAAAGCCACCAGATTCCATTCATAAAACCAGTAATTTTACCTCACAGAGTTTATGCCTCCATCGGTTAGCTTGTTATTGTGTGACTTAGGTCAATGCTGTAGATACAGGGCATAAGTCAATGTTGTAGATACAGGTCAGTGGTCAGTGTTTTTTGGCCCTGATTGCTGACTGCAGTTAGACCCTCTGAGAAGAATATAATTCATTATTTGAAGATATAAAAAGGGGAATTCAGTGGATGCATCCGGATATTCTGGATTCATTTTTGTACAGTGGCATGAAGTGGAGACGGCCATCTTTATACGTTGATGTGTAGTAGACAGTAGGACCTACTTTATAGCTACATTAGCTAGCTCAACTTTCTAACTGTATTCAGTGATTTTGGTGAAACTGGAGAAAATATTTCCTGGTTTTCCCTCTGTCATCCTCCGGCTGCTCAGCTTCAACTCTCTGTGATTTACAGAGTTTCCTGATGGACAGATAGCTTTAGCTAAAAATCTATACACCCAATCAATATCTATGATAATTCCCTACTGCCTGTTTTTACAGAAATATGTAAACATAAGGAAACAGCTCTTTAATGACTTTAATGAGAACAGATGTTTACAGAGGTCCTCAGCGAGTTGGTCAGAAGTACGGTGTGGGGTCGCTCCTGTTGCACATCTGGACGTGGACGTGTGAGATGATTCCTGGGAAAACCGTCTGCATGGGCAGCATGACGCCGATCCTCTGCCCCTTCCTCACTGAGCCGGAGGTTCGGTCCGGATTCACAGGGAACAGCTTGAAACACAGACCTGCAGACACAAACCACGATCAATACCACGATCAATGCCACAATCAATACCACGGTTAATGTAATAAGTGTGTTGACCGACCCTCTCCTCTCAGGCTGATGCCGTTGTTGAGGACCACCTTGTCGGGGGCGGTGAAGGGGGTGACGGTGTTTCCGTGGAGCGTCACGTCAAACGGAGCGTAGACGATCGATCCGTCGCTGCACTCGATGTCCAGACCTTTGTGCTCTCTGCTCCCCCTGAAACACAGCAGACAACATATAAAAAGGGGGTTTCACGTCATGACTGACAGCTGAGCCCTACTCGCATTGAGTCGGCTGGTCGGGACCTTGACACCACAGCACCGACCCCGATCACGACTGCGCAGACTCTGGCTCCGAATGGAGGAAGATTGCAACAGACGTATCATTTCTGCACACTGCAAAAGCCCCAACATACTGCTCATTTTAAAACGACCACAGAGAGACTAAAACAACCACAGAGAAGACACTTAAAACAACCACAGAGAGACTAAACAACCGAGAGACCTAAAACACCACAACGAGAAACACAACCAAAAGAGACAACAAACAACCACAAGAGACAAAATAACAGAAGAACAACAAACATGGCGGACTTGTGTAAGAAGAGGACCGTTCCCTCTGAGACTCATTACAATATGACACACTGTGAGCTTTAATCCCTGGTCCTTGGGGGTTCTTTAATATTCACTCTGTGAGGGCAGAATAAAGACAGAAAACCTGGATCCTACATTCCCACAAGCACCTGAGCGGCTCTCCCTTACGCGGGGCTCCGTAGCGTCCCTGTCCCAGCGGGTCCGCGTCCTCCTGCTGTTGGCTGAGTTTTCACCGCAGACTGACCGAACTGCACACCGTCACACACAACAGCACAGTGACACACCAACACACACAGTGATTGAATGTATTGAGGTCATGTTGCTTTATATTGACTTTTCTTGATTTTGTAACGTCAATGCTTAAGTTAAATCCTCTAAGCATGATAATCTGTTTAATATATTTATATAAGTTTAATGTGGGATTGTACTCTTTATTATTAACTATTCAGGATGCTACGGTTAATTTAAATGACTTTGTTTTGATTTTTTGGTTTGAGGATCAAGTAACATTTATTATTATTACTTTGAAAAAGTGTATTGATGATTTATTTACTAAGTCATGTCTTTGTTGTGTATTGTAAAGGTTATCAACCATTTCTGCCTAATCCCC